ATCTAGATGTCCAGAATGGGAAGACAGGGAAACTACTCTCAATGAGCCTGATGTTAGCCCTCGCCAAATTTCTAGAACAAATTCATATTGCATGTATAGAATGTGTGCCCTCTGGGTCTCATGCACTTTGTAAAAAATGTTGAAAAACAAAGCAGTAGTTTCTAGTAATTTCTAGGAACCAGAATGAATTTGCTAAGTAGTCTGAAATGTCTTCTTTTAATTCATAAGGATTATCATATTCAAGTTCATTCTGCTCTGATTACAGCTTCTATGTTCCATAAGAAAAGAGTAGATTACCCTTAAATGAAATCGAGAAAGGGTTGAAGTTTTTCTTTCTACATAAAACCTTTCTGCTCTTTGGTATCTTTATCTACAAAACGTGGACAATAATAATCTCTGATTTACCTCCTGATGTGAAGTAGAATTGTTATTAAAATATTAGACATGTAATAAGGAAATCTTACCATAAACAAGAAGGAAAAGAGGTGGAGGGTGCATGAGGTGGAAAAGGATAAGGATAACCAGGAAATGGATGTGTACCATTAAAACAATTTGAGGGCAGAAAAAGACCTTAGCAGGGGAACCCTGTCATTTTAAAAACACAAGTGACATGAGGTGCAGGGAAGGTCTGTGGCTTGTTTAAAGTCTTGCAACAAGTTAATGGTGAGAAGGGAGAAAACCAAAAAGGGAAAGAAAAAAAAAAAAAGGAAGAACTACAAGTTTACAAGTCAAAGGTTCCCACAAGGCTTGACCCAGGAGGCTGCCGTAACTCTCCAGGCTCTGAAATTGCTCCCCTGCCTTTGATACTCGGCCAAGGGGACCATCCATGGTGGGCCATGGCTCTGTGCACATTCGACTCCCTGGAGGGCTCAATCAGAGAGCAGGCTCAAGCACCCCTCCCACTCTTAATGCACACCCCATTTTACCCACACATCTCTCCCTCTCCAGACCTATGTAAAGGAAAAAAAATCCTTTAGATTTTCTTACTTTAGAAATTCAAATGACTGTAGGGATCCAAAGAAACACCCATTTCCAAAAATATTTTAATTCCTTGTTAAAACACCAAAACATCTACATATTTGATTTATTTGAAGAGGACTGTGTCTGCTGTAACTTTGGTTTTATTTCCTTTTTATGGCAGTGATGTCAGTAAAACTAATAGTGGGATGATATGAGTTACATGTGAAGCAGTATCTTTATAAAAACAGAAAACTTTTTGCAAGTCATGTAAAAGGATACAATTTTCCTATTTTGTTGTTTCTTATAGAAATGAAGATGATGAAAGAGATATTCTCATGAAATAATTTTAGAAACGGGGGCAGGGAGCAACCTCTCACCAAGATGGTGTATAAGTCCCTAGGGCTGGAACACAGTTGCCCAGAGATTTTTCATTCAAATCATCACTAGAAAGATTTGCATGCAGTTCTCACTATTCATGTAGCCATTTGAAAGTTCACATGTATTTAATTCTAGAATTACTAAAACCATCCCTCATGGTAAAGAAATAAGAGTAGAAGGATGCAGTGATTTCCATAAACTGTTATTTTTGTTGATGAGATAGATCTTCCACCAGCCCAATAAATAGCTAATAACACATCATAAATTCCTTAGCCTTAAGACAAAATCCCCTGATAACACAGGTCAATGGTTCCACAGATTAGTTCTGAACACAGGGGCTCTGAAAGTCCTTGCCCAGAAAAGAAAAACAATTCGTGTGAAGCTGTGTTTCAGGAAAAGTAACAGAAAGGTATTTACCCTAACAATAATTTACACTAATAAAATAAACAAAAAGTTTTTAATTTTTCCTTTTCATTTCCAAAGTCATCGTCTCAAAAACCATCAAAGCTGCTTGATGACACCATAGCAAAAAAGTTAAGCACTCACTTTAAGGCTATGTTCAAGAACTCAAAAATGTGCTGTTGAAGTCACAGCTGTGAACAGGATAGTTAGGCACATATTGACTGGAATGGTTACTAGTCAGTTCAGCCTGATCAGTTAAACCATCTGTGATGGGCATGCCTGAGAAAAGCAAGTCTCCTGGTTTGGTGTAGCTACAGCATAGAGTACAAATCAGGGAATTATGGAAGGATACTGGAGACTTTTTTGCATTTCATTGTACCTGGCATGGGAACAGATAAAGGGTTTTGAACAGGGCAGTGATGTGATTGGAGCTGATTTTACAAAGACTATCAGTGGAGATAAAATGAGTAGGAATAGGAAGAAACTGAGTGTGGGAGACTGAAGCAAGGGTCAGCATGACAGTGTAAAAAGAATTTTCTAGTAAGAGAACTTTATAGGAATTAAAGAAACAAAACGCTTCTAAAAACACCTTGTTCAGATATTAGCTGAATTCCCATGTTGTTAACATATATTTATTTAATGCCTTCTATGCTCAAGACTAGTGGCCTTTGAATTTTTATGACCATATACCCAAAGAAATTAATTTCCCCTCACTCCAGTTTCACAAATATATTTAGAAACAAAGGTTTCATAAAATAATACTTTACTAGAGTAGAAAATGCATTATTATTTTTCTACTTTATGTTTTTTCTTAATTCTATTCCAAGCCACTAAATTTATTTATAGTTTGGAAAGGACTTCTTTAGGCACCCTGAGGAAGGCAGGAGGACAGTATAAGAGTTATTCCAATCTTAACAAAATTCTATTTGTTAAGAGAAAGAAAACAGGCACAAACACAAACACAAGATGGAAATCATGGAATCTGGGGGAACTGGAGAGGACTTGAGAAGCTGTCTTATCTTAATATTTCATGTAATTAGTGAAAAAAAGAAACTCAGAAAGATTAACTTACTTAACAACTCACAGCCAGTTAGTGCTGCAGACCCAAGGTAAGCAGAGTCTCTGGAAAGACTCAAGTCCGTTCTTAAACATTTTAAAGCAAAATGAATAACTGAAAGCAAGATTACAAAAATGGTGGAGTATTTCCATTTTAAGTTAATTTGGATTAAGCAAACAATGCTTTTTATACACATACCACAAATGCAAATGCTATTCAAAAGTACTGTTCATGAAATAATATTTAAATACTTGTTATGGCATGTAGGTGGTGTGGACTGGCAAGAGGACACAGGCTTAGATTTGTATGAGCAGCAGCTCATTTCAGTCTTATCAGTGGATCTCTGTGCTGAATTACTTCCCTGCGATATAATGAGTTACAAGAAATTGACCAAATTGGTCATTCATATGACCAAATAAATATTTCCCAGGTATATTTGTTCTTCATCCACAGTTCCTGAAAACACTGCAGAGTCTTAAAGGTGAAAGGAGTGTTTTGTCATGTTAATGAGAGATTTTTGGACTCCCACTCAGAGAAGAGCTTTCTGCTCTCTGCCTCTGTTAGATCCTGCTTCTTGGTCCGAGAGCTTCCATGCTTCGGGAACCGGAACACTCCCCCATGCCGCCAAGCCAGGCCCCAAGCTCCACCAGGATAGAAGCTCCTTTACTTGGGAACTTGCCCTGTATCTCTCTTCATCTGGCAGTTAACTTGTATCCTTTATTAAATTGGTAAACGTTAAGTGTTTTCCTGAGTTCTTTGAGCCACTCTAGGAAATTAGTCGAACCTAAGGGGGAGGTGGTGGGAATCTCCAATCTGTAGCCAGTAGGTCAAAAGCACAGGGAACTGCCTGGGGCTTGGAACCGAAGTCTGGAGTGGGGGTGAAGGGCAGTCTTGCAGGACGGAGCCCTTAACCTGGGAATCTGGTGCTGTCTCCGGGCAGATAGCATCAGAATTGAGTTCTCCAACACCCTGCTGGTGTTCAAGAATTGTCTGGTTAAGTATGTGTGGGAAGACCCCCTCCCACATATTTACACACGTTGGAATTGAATTCCAGTACCCAAATGAAGTCATAGTACTATTACTGCTGTGTATAATATTGTTATTGTCATACACACATGTAGGGAAAAAATACACCATTGCATTTGGTGTTGGACCACTGGGATTCACAGCCCCATTTGGAGATAATATCAAAAGCATGAATTTGAGGTTTGTTAGCCTCCTCAGGAATAAGCACTGGTCAAATGAGCCACTCCACCCTTATCCCTAAGCCCCAGCTCCTTCAAGAATACATCGGTGTTGTCTTGTTTCCCCGTTCTACCCACCATTCTAAGATGTGAAAAGCTCTGTTGAAGGTTTCTGTGCTCTTCTGAGTCACTCTGTTGTTCTTGGGTTTTCTGTTTTGAGGGATCATCTAACAGCTGAGGTTATTATGGCTTTGAACGTGACAGTCTAAGAAGCACTGAGCCAGGTGTCGGGTGCCACACCTTGTTGCTTTTTTTACATAAGTTCTCACCTTGACCGTTTCCCACTTAGAAAAATACTATAAAGCAAACTTTTTAAACTGTACCGCTTAATGACGTCAAAAGTTTCCATTAAGTAGACCATGCTAATGTCTTCCATATTAAACACTTTTTATTGTTTTCATTAAGGCATTGCAAAATTAAAGCACATTAAACTCATTTAAGTTATTCTACCCTTTTCTGATAGAGTTTAGAAAAGACTGCCTGTGATGGTCAGCATCCTTTTTTGCCAAGTTTAATAAGAAAGTTGGGTATTTTGTGGGATAATTGCAGCAGAAATATTCTTATATTTGATTATCTGATTTATTTATGCTTATAAAGAATAATTGTAAAAAACCATGTGACAATTACATTTTGACATTACAACTTTTGCAGATTATTATATAGCACTAGCCTTTGTATAAAATGTTTTTAAAAGGAGAATTATATATGTATAGTGTAAGCTATTAAATGGTTTATTGTAAATAAGTAATTTATTATGTTTCTTCTTAGGCACTCTATCTGCCAGCTTTTCTATTAGAAATTTACAGAAACTTTTTGCAAAGTATAACAAAACAAGGTTCTTTACAGTTGTTTTTGGCATTTGTGGTTTGAATACAATCGCACTGCATTTTTTAACAATAAATGAATCCCACATGAAGAGAAATGTGCTTACTCTCTCCCTTCTCTCTTGAAACCCACAGACGACTTGCCGGAAACGCTTTGACATACATACCCAAGGGAGCATTTACTGGCCTTTACAGTCTTAAAGTTCTGTGAGTAAACCAGTGTTCTTTGTTATATTTCTGATTTTAGTGTCAAGTGGATGCTAATTAACTTGTAAAGACTGAGTCTCTCTACTAAGCCATTGACAGCCTTGGGATCATTCATCTAAATTCAAGTCTGCTTTCATTGGTACCAAGAACCATACCTGGCTGGATTTGTGTGTGAAAAAAATCCATGTCTCCTTTTCACTCCTTTTGAACATTTAAAAGTGTTTGCCTCTAAATAACCAATTTATTAACTCAAACCTTAAAAAGAATATTTCCTGTTCCTTTTGTGTCGTAAAGCTGGGTTGAGTTGCTCGAATCATTTTGATCACCAAGTGAGTAAGTCACTAGGATGCTGACATATAGAGATCACAGCTTCAGAAGTCACTGGCAAGATTTGTTTCTGTAGAATGCACCAAAGAAGGATCTGCTAAAAAATACTAAGTTTATGCTGTGTATTGTAAACAGATGTGAAAAAGCGAAGTTCACAGTGAATACACTGAGTAGTTGCTTAATTGAGAAGCGGTAATTCATTGTGATTATGAAGATAGGTTTTCTTATTATTTAATGGCCAACTTAGCGATTTGCTTATCAAAAAAATTCACTATTGAATACCTTCTTCTAGTATCCAGTGCTCCATTGCTTAATTTTCTTACAGTTTATTCTGTGTAGGAAAAAAAGGAACCTAGGACAGAAAAAAGTAACACAAGTTGAAAGTCTCCCAGGAAAATTTTATCTCAGAGAAAATACCCTGATTATATTTCCTTCCTTTGAGATAAAAGTTATGAACTCTGAAAAGCCATTTGATATATTTCTGCTTGATGGAAATTTCATTTCATTGACTTGATGGATACATAGGGTATTTAAAAAGCAGTTTTATTTAAATGTAATGTTTTGTTACAAGTTAAATTCAACAGCAGAACCATTGTTTGGTCTGCTTAGGGAACAGGGTTTGGTCCTCGCCCCCTTGAATTCTGTTTACCATTAGGCATAAATATTTTTTAATTGTCATATTGCAAATCCTAATGTTAATTCACTGTTTGGCAAAATTCTGAGCTGTAGACAAGTCTAATGCACCTGTATCTCCATGAACCTTATATTTGGAATTGTTCCAATTGGATCACATAAGTCAAGTTTGGATAAGACAATTAAGATGATGTTTTTCCTATGTCAAGCTATGTACCACAAAAGTGTTTTGGACACTTTTTAAATAAACTATACTGAAATCAATTACTTTAATTCATTTAACTAAAAGTATATTGTATATACTGAGCTAGTGTGTTGTGGAGAGCTATGTGGGTGTGCCATTGAAAGTGCCATTGTGCAAATTATTTCTGGAAATAAAAAGATCAATAAGTATGGTCTGTGCCCTTGAAGAGCTTATAATCTAATGGTAGTTTGTGGGATCAAGATCATGGGATCAAGACAGACAAATAGATCACTTCTGATTCTTCTGGAAAATGTATCCAGAGATGTAGACAGGGTACTGTGGAACTACAGAAGTTAGGAAACATTTAGTCCAGTCTAATGGTTCAAATTCAGCTTACTAGGAGGGGTGTTTTTCCAAAGAGTTGACCTATGAGCTGAACCTAGAAACACAACTAGTAACGACCCATCCACACAGTAGCCGACAGAGGGGGCAATATGACAGAGACACAGAGGCAGGATTACCTGGGATCAGCAGGCAGCCTTAAGCAGATGGGCGCTCAAGCACTCAGGAAAGGGAGAAGACCCTGGAGAGATAGAAAGGGTGCTGGCCTCAGGGATCCTGTTCGTCACGTCAATCATTATTATGTTCTAGACACAGTGAGGAGCCAAGGAAGAAACATAAGTGAGGGAACACATTTTCAGCCTTTGCAGATTAGCTAGATCACTGTCAAGGCGAAGAGGATTCAATAAGAGTAAGACCCCTACCGTGAACTGTGTTCACTGTTCCCTTTGCTTTATTGACTCAAGGACGAATGTTCAAGGAGTAAATACAAACATCAAATATTTGGAAAGTATTTTAGTGTTAGAGCAGTGGCTCTCCACCATGGCCATTCTGCCTGGCCCAGAATACTCTGGAAAGCTGTGGGAGCATCTTTGGTTTTTCTGATGATTGGCATGTATGTAGTAAACTGTCCTGGGATGTGCTGCTCAGCCCAGCATAGTTCTCCCACGTCCCACTCAACTTCTGTCCCTCCATACCTGATGTAAATTGATAACTCTTGCACGCATAAGTAAATGAAAGGTTTTATGGGAAGTTCCATTTAAGGCTAATAATTTATATAGGAAAAGTTAAATGGAATAAATATATTCCCTCAAATATTATTGAATAAATAACTCATTTGTGCATCCTGTCTATTCCAGGTATTCTATGAGTTCTAACCAAATAATTAGCTGAAAATGGCATTAGGGCAATAGGAGAATTACTGCAAAACAAATTATAGCTATATAACTGTGGAGATGTAAAAATTCTCCTTAAAAATAACTACCATTAAATTAGAAGACCCCCCCTGTTTTGAGAGAAAGCTTCTGCATCCATGGATGTTTAATTGCCCTTGTCTAGCTCGGATTAGCACATAGTCTACAGGCACACACCTGATCATGTACAATTGCTCTCTTACAACACTAAACTATGTTTTCTAACTTTATCTTGCATCTACCTACCACTTCAGCATTTTATTAAAAATAAAAATAATAATAATAAAGGGAGAAATGTGGGATCCACATATAAATCAAGTATAAAAATCAAACGAATATTCATATTTGACCTGATTGTTTATAGTTCATAATGCGTGATCAAAACCGAAAGTTTCTGTGATGAATGCCCTTGTACTGTTCACCATGTAAGAACTTATTCACTATGTAAGAATTCGTTCACCATGTAAGAACTTGTTCGTTATGCTTCAGAAGATTGGAGACTGACGAGAATTAGGCTTGAGATGGATTAATGATTGTGCATTGAGCATTGACCCCCTATACAGAATTTTATTGTTGTTAACAACCATTTGATCAATAAATATGAGAGATGCCCTCTCAAAAAAAAAAATTAGAAGGGAAACATGGAATGCAAGGCTCTCACTGAATTTTATTAAGAAAGGTTGCTTTATAAATATTTTGTATTATGGCCTTTTAAAATTTTCGGAGCACAGTCATACAAAAATCTATGTTGTGATGATTACATACTGATTTATTCATTTGGGGTGGCCTGTTGCTTTTTTAATCTTACCCTTACACTGCCCAGAAGAGTCTACCATCCAGCATCTATCTATAAGGCAGTATCGCTGTAACATTTCCTTTTCCAAGTTAGCCTCAATTCCCCATAGCCTGTGGTAGGATATGCTCTCCAGGGCCTCTTGCAATCCTGGAGAACAAGTGCTCACCTCAGCATGTGATGGGATTTTGAGATAGGATGATTGTTCCCTGTGATATTTCAACCCTATCCAGTATTTAGAAAATTGTTTTAATACCGCTTTGACTTGTAAGGAATACTCATTTGTGAGAATATGCATGCTTATTTGTGAGAGTGTAACATTCCTAATTTTCTCCACTATAACATCTATACTTTGCCTTGGAAGTTATCTTTATTTTAAGAAAGGTTAGTTCCTTCTTTGTGATGTAAGTATAGGCTGTTATATATCTTAACTCTAATTCTTATTTAGTATCCATCTGGACCTCTACTCTCATTTCCCTGTTCTTGTACAGAATAGCTTCTGATCACATTATTTCTCTCACACCCAACCTTATTCATTAAAGGCAGAGGCAAAAATCTGACTCATTCATAAAAGTGTCTCCTAAAGTGGTCATATCTAAGTACCATGTATATAATGATACATATATCATTTTGTTATAAACTACTTTTCCATTATTTTTCCTTTATAATGCAGTTAGAGTATTACATTATATTGATTTTTTCTTTGAAATGATGTGTGTAGATAAACTATAATTTTAAGAATGTCACCTAAGTATAGCATATGGGGCATTACAAAATATTTGTTAATACATAATATTCTCCATGTAATTGAGGATTAATGATAATAAAATAATAATAAAAATATATATTTGTTAATAAAGAGAGTACTGGGTCCAATAGGGCTGAGAACCACAGTGCTAGAGGAAAAATGCTGAATGAGACAGGCCTGTTCCTACCCTCGTGGAAACTCTCTCAAATGTTTTATAAAGTCCAAAAGTCATTTGGGAGAAAGGAATAACTGATTATACTGTAGCATGATGACAAAGATAAAATGAAAATTATATTCGTCTGGGGCCCTGACCAGTATATGGGGACCACATGGTGAAAGAAGAAAAGATAATAGTAATCCAGTCCATGGAGATGGAGAATGGACATGGCAACAGCCCTCCTTGGCTAGGACTCTTTCATATGAAACCTTGCTACTGTGTACTCTGGGAGATCACTAATATTTACAATTATTGTCCCTATAAATATCAAACTTTATAAAGAAGATAGCTGTGTGTTGAAAAATACCCAATCCAATGGGATTCTGAACAAGGCCATCCTCAATAGAGGCTCATTTTCTTGTGTGCGCCATTTAGTCAAGAAATGGCTCTCCTGGCCTTCTCACCAGAACTGAGGCCATGTGAAGCTGATGAGTAAACTAACTGCAGAAAAATCAGTTAGCCAGAATTTCTCATTCACACACATGCCCAGAGCACAGCCTCAGGAGTTACTGATATCTAAACACAGAACAATTAGGCAGAAGGCATACCTAAGGATCAATCCATCCACTGTCCCCTTTGAGCATATTATTTCATCTTCTGCTTCCCTGTTCCCATTCTTATTTGGTCCTGTTGGCAAAAAAGATAACCGAAAAATTGTATTGTTAGAGTCAGCATTGAAATGATGTATGAAATAGTCAACATTTAAAGCTCCTCAGGGAAAGAAAATAAGAAAACAAGAAGTCATCCTTTGTCTGTAAAGAGAATGTTGCATGTTCTTTTCTTACCCATACATGAGTGATAAAATGAAGTGATAAGTGACTAAATCCATGTTCAGTTCATGGTACATTCTACTTATAGTCAATATATTGAACAAAATAATATTTGAGAAGGAAATCCGCAGCCATGTTGTGAAAGCTTTCTGTTTTAATGGCACTCCATAGTGCTCCAAGCCCTTTAATTGTTTTGACTCCCACTGGAGTATCTTAAACAAAAACAGAATTTTCTGATTAACTCACTGGAGACCTATAAGGATAAATGGAGATAACTTGTACTTGTTTTGCCATTTACAAGTAATGAAGCAGAAGTTCTTTATTTAAGGAGAGATCAGAACTTGAGTGTTTTTTTTATTAACGTATCATTGATATACAATCTTATGAAGGTTTCACATGAGCAACACTGTGTTTATTACATTGACCCATATTATCAAGTCCCCCCCACACACCACATTGCAGTCACTGTCCATCAGCATAGTAAGACGCTATAAAGTCACTGCTTGTCTTCTCTGTGCTATACTGCCTTCCCCATGACCCCCCCTACATTATGTGTGCTAATCATAATGCCCTTAAGTGGTTTTTTTTAGCTATATCTTTGGTGCCTTACTGGTAGAGGTAGTTGAAAAATTAAATGCCAGGAGTTAGCTCAGGGGTAGCTTTAAAAGTTTTCATTAGTAAAGCTCATTAAGTTCCATTTTCTGAAGCCAGATATATAAAGCTACTGAACGTTTGCAACTATTCAATGCAGGAAAACCATCTAAATATCTCTTATCCTCTCCTCTGATTTTCCAATTTTTTAGGAAGACCACATTTTAATAGCTTCACTGATTAGTTAGTAAATAATAGAAGGACAATTCAATGCACACTTTTTACCAGAATATATTACCTACAAAATTTAGGCATCAACTAAGTCCATTATCTGTATCTTATCATTATTTAAATGTATCAGTTAATTGAGTGACTTAGAAAAGGTTTCTGTGATGTTCAAATTATATATTAAAACTGCTTGGAAGTGTAAAATAACATATAGAAATGTAAATTTTTAATATTTAGTTAAATTATACAAAATTTGGAATTCAAGATATAATTTTCCCAATTCCCTGTTAAGCAAAGTGTGAGAGCACCCTAAAACTTGATTTTGTTCATAACAACCAGTACATTTTCAGACCTTTGATTTATGTATGAAATGTTAGTTGAATCCAAATTTAACATAACAATGAAATTACTTGAGTAAAACTATTGGAATGCAAGTGACAAAATTACACTTCTTAGAAAACAGAATCTCAGCCATAGTGAGAAAAGCAAAAAATTTTATCATCTCCAAATACTTTTCACATCTTATTTGTATACACTCATATTTGCATATGTGAAAGTATAAATGCCCTAAAATTTTAATTCTCAAATGCCCTATCAAATCAGATGATAGCATTCTACTCCCATTACGCAGATAAAAGACCAAGGGTCAGGGAGATTAAATGGTTTCTTCTCCAGGAGTCAAAATTTAGGCCTTATCTCCAAGTTGTGTGGCCTCAAGTTCAGGTGAAAATATTCAATGAGAAATACTTAGCCTGGCATAGGGTGGTTCTCAGTCCACACCCAGTCCTCACCCAGCAGCACCAATATCACCTGGAAGTTTGCTAGAAATGCAAATTCTTTGGCCCCTGCCTAGACCTTCTGAACCAGAAATATTGGTGGTGGGGCCCAGCTAACTGTGTTTTAACAAACTTTCCAGTGGATTCTGATGAACCCTAAAGTTTGAGAACCACTGGCTTATTATTTTTTTATTTTTGGTGATTGTATGTTCTCATTAATTAAAATGTCACGTCCAGTACAATCCCACCACACCATTAGTTTTGAGAAGTCTATCAGTTCACACAGACAGCATTAACTTTTACTGAATGCTTACCACATAGCAGGTATTGTTCTATGTACTTTCACTCGCTGGATCGTCACAATAGCCCTGAGAGGTGGGTATTATTACTGGTCACTGAAAGATGTAGAGATTGGGTAATTCTCCTGAGACCACACTGCTAGTGGCAGGGAAGCAGTAGTCGGATAAAAGAATCCATGCTCTTAACCATACCTTAACCATACCATGTGCCATGCAGCCTCAGAATTTGTACATTCACCAAATATTCCTCAAGAGAATGCTGCAAGGTGCAGCAGAAAGTGCATCAAGCTTTGGGTTGAATCCCAGCTAGTCATCTAACAAAAAGAAACTTCCATTGTCAAGGTGAGAATAAGGCATGTTGTTTCTGAGGTCCAAACACAACTTTGTGACCTAATAAGAAGTAATATTTCTTTAAAATGTCTGCTTTCCTAAAATAGTCCCCTGCCTCTGGCTCACACAGACCGTGAAATACTACTGGTGAAGAATGGCTTTAAAAATTATTGTGTTATAAACATTTATGAATAAAGCAGCAAAACATAAGGAATCTAATGGTAATTTTTTCCATGCTATTTCCCCACTAGCAGTGATATATTTTTATTTCATTGTTGCCAGGTGTTTCTACTCTGTATTCTCCATGTTCTGAAAAGAACTGTTGTACCCAGGCCAGCAAAAATGCAATACTTCACAAAAAGAATTTAATTTGTATTAAAATATGACCATGCACAAGAAGGGAGATCTTAAATAGCTTGCTAGTGTTATCCCTTATTTACATTTTGTCTAATCTATCAGAATGATACCTTAAAAACAAATCAGAGTGTATCATTTCCCTACTTAAACCCTCCAATAAGAGCTTCTCATCACACATGAAGTAAAGCGTTCTTGTGGCTTGCAAGTCCTTCATGGGATGGCCTCATGTTTCCTTTCCCAATTGCCCTTATTCATTCCACCTCAATCACATTTGGTCCTTTGCTGCTCCTTTAATAAGCCAAGCAAGCTCCAGCAGCCTCAGGGCCTTTGCACATGCTCTTCCCTCTTCCTCAGTAACTTTCCCCAGATGCTCACAATATTTGTCCCATGACTCCGTTCTGGCCTCTATTCGAATATCATCTCCTAAGAAAGAGCTTCCCTGACCACCTTAAAAATAAAAATCTCACCCTAGTTATCATCTATGCTAAATCCATGTTTTGTTTTCTATATACTACCCATCCCTTATCTCATGGTATATACTTACTTGTTAATTTTTCATTATCTATCGCTCCCAAGGGCCGACACTCTGATGATGTATCTCCCTGACCCCTAACCAGCACCTGGCACTGCTGTGGCCAGCTATTGCTAATCATCATTAGCTTTCCTTAACCTTCTTTTCATCTGTTTTCATGCACAGTATGCTGCAGAATAATCACCTAACGCAGGTCCCCACAGAAGCTCTACAGAATTTGCGAAGCCTTCAATCCCTGTAAGTATAGTTGAAATTGGAAAATGTTCTTAGGATCAGTTTGGGAAGGAGAATCAACATGTCCAAATGACCATCTTAATAAATTCCATGGTGGGGAGCCATGCCTAAATAAGTTGTGAATGAGAGTCTCTATTACAGCATCAGCTCTTCACATCCTCATTAAACAATATGTGGGAGGGAGCAGTGCTGGATGGAGTTTGGGATTTCAGGGCAGAAACTCAATCATAACACCTACAGAGAAAAGCCTCTTATAATATGCTGGTATCACAAAGCAAAACATCCAGGATCTTGTCCTAAGTCTCCTGCAATATTTTAGTTCTTGAATTCAAATCAAGAATAATGCTGTTTTTGTTTTATCTAGAAAAATGAGTGTCACAATCTAGACATCTTAGCATCTTCCATTCATTCTGTTTATAGATTATCTGAGCTGCCTTGTAATGAAATTCTGCTGAGTCAAATAAAGACAGTTCGTTAAGTTCTGAATGTCCATCAAGGATCCTCAAATTAGTAAGCTAAGACTTTATAGTATATCGTAAAGCCTTACTGCACAGGTCTACAAACCAAGAGAGTCCCATCACCACACACAGACATACAAACCTACTCACAAGCAGCCCCACAGATACACACACAATACTTCACATTCACACAGCACACACAGACTCCTACAGACACACGCACATAGACATTCAGGGATCATGCTGCTCCCCACTCTAAATCCACAACTTTTCCATCAGGAGTTTCCACCCTTTGCTAATTTAAAATCTCAATATAAACAAAAATTAGTTATTCTGTATACAAAAGAACTTTCTTACCAGCTAGATGTTTGAAGCTTGGGTTGTAAGAAATTGTTTACAGTGATTATGTAGCAAAACTAGGCCATGAGTACATGGTAAGTCTTCATCTCATCAGCATGTGTAAGTGTTTACCAGATATTGCATGATTTCTAATATACACAGGTTGTAATACATGCTCTCATCTTACACTGGAGGTCCTCATCTGTCAAACAAAATACTGGTTTCTGGTCTAGAGTGATGAGGGAGACAAATGCATAAAAAAGGCAAATAAATATCACAGACTCTAGTTGAAAGTCATTGTAAAGAACCTGTCAGTTAATAATTACATATCGTTTGCTTAATGCCTTTTACTGAGGTGACACAAGAGAAGGAGGAACATGAGATTTGGAGATGATACTCCCTTTGATCTGTTTTTATTTTTTTGTGTGTGAAAGCAAATCTCTGCTTGAGAGCATTTTAAGCTTTTTACTCGAGTCAGAGTGACTTCCTAGGTTTTCACCAGCCTATCGATAAACAAGCCCACAAGGGCCCCTTTGTGGCATGGAACAGGTCTGTTGTATTGTCAGGAGCTCCTTAATGACATCACAGTATCACTCCTTTGTTGCACAAGGCTTTTCCTGAAGGAAAGAAGCCACTGGAGAAGCAAAATGCTCTCAAGTTGGGTTGTCTGGGTAAGAGCAAGGGATCAGGGGGCTGGATTGAAAAGCAAGATAATAGCAGCAGCCAATAGGAACTTTAAACAGCTGGGAGGCAGTCAGGAGATAGAAGGATAAGAGTTTGTAACCAAAAGCCACTATCAGCTGAAAGAAGATCACAAACGAGAACACACATAGAAGTGAACTCTTTGAGAAAGAGAAAACCACAAATCCTTTGTTCATTCGAATTGGGTGGTGCTCTCTGATAAATGTGTTCAGATTTAGTTTCTTACCATCTAGGTATTTACTGTTCACCAGGTGTCTCTTGCATTTGGCTTCTGGTTCACAAAAACAATTACGTTTGAAACCCTGTAAGTATGTGTTCCCTGTGAAAAAGCCAAGGGTTAACTTTCCAGTAGGATGCTGATCACATCCAAACTGAAGCATGTAGATAGACATCCAACCCCCTAGCACGCTGGACTGTATCGGCTGGTTATGTGTGTTTTTGTCAGGCGTCCCTTTGCCCTGGGACAGCCTGACCCATGTGAGGGATTGAATGTGGGCAGTGCGCACTGCTCTGCCCCTTTTTTTCCCATTTTTTGTTCTGCTTTGATACAGAATTCAGATTTGACGAAAAGCATTATGACCATAAATTTAACCACTGACCACACAGATACCATATTATACTAGCTGAAGAAGCCCTGTGCCCAGTTTGGAGTTTTGGGCCGCAGTGAGTCTTTAAGCTTTACTGTTGTCCCAGACTCAAGATACCGAATAGGTTTCTCCTGTTTCAATCAAACAGTTCCAAAAATAAAACCATTAGTTTTGAGTCTCATGGTCATTACAGACATGCATTCCTTATCCATTCTCCATTCATTTTCCACACCTTTGTGCTGCTTGCCTATCAAATGGAGTAACGAAGGTGGCTCATCCCTCATGCTGCCCAGAGCTGGGGGCCTCCATTCAGTGGTCCAGCTCTTCATGGACTACAGTCAATCTTTAGACCTTCATTTAGCCCTTTTTCTAATGGCTCATCTTTTTTCTCCCTTGACTTCATTTATTTTTCTCCACTTTATTATCTTCTGTGAATCGCACATTGACTCCCGAAGAAGCACTCCATGCCTCACAGGGGTTGCAATTGCATCACCCCGGCCCATGCCTGGCCTTGTAGCTCCTGAAGGGGCACTTCTCACCATGGCGGCAAAGGTGAGGAGCCTCCAGGAGAGTCTCCACATCTAGGCTGCACCCCAGACCACTTAAAATCAGAACCTGAGCAGGGCACCTGAGCCTCGGGCACTTTCTAACCAGTTTAATTGTACAGTTAAGTACTTCTTAAATGAAGACTGGGGAAAATTAGTGTCCTGCAGCATTCTTTCAGATGATCTGCAAATATTCTCCTGAACTATTTTCAAACCTCAATTAATAGCTGAAAGGGTATCCCGCCGTGACCCACCTTACCCCAGAAGGACTCAGGAGACACCAGCCCACACAAGAGATTTTTATTATCCGAAAGAGAAAATGGCTGCCCCTAGAGAGAGGGAGCAGCAGCTCGTGGGTGGGGAAGTGCGTTTTTAAGGAGTAGGAGTAGGGTGTGTTCTGTGTTGGTGATTGGATCTTAAGGGGTGGGGGTCTGAGTGCACCAGAATTTGCCTTCAATAGCAAAATGCAGACTTTGCGTTCCAGTGTAAAATAGTAGTGTACTTAAAATATGGAATAAAAGTCAGGGATTTTCTTGTCTGTGTTTAACTGAAATTGCTCACTGCCTATTAATTCTACTGATGCTCTGGGTAGATAAAGTTAGGAGGCCACCAGCACTTCACCCTCTTCTCAAATGTGTCCCTGGGCCGAGAGCACCAGTACCTCCCAAGTTATATGGTACCTTGGGCCTCATCTCTGTCTTACTTAATCTGAAGTTTCATTTTAACAAAATCCACAGGGGATTTGTATGGCCAAGGCTTTTGAGAAATTAAAATGTTGAGTGTTCTGTGACACTAGCCAAGTGGCCTACAAACCAATAATGATTGACAGCTGCTGAAATAGATCATTAGGATACATTGCTCCACCAACGTGGACTTGGCTCCATTGTACAGTTTAAGAAATCTGCTATGTTGAAATTGGTAACATAGCTATGTGGAAGAAACAAATTGTACTCAGGTTTCAAGGGATGTAATTTTCATTTATTCCACATAAAGCGAAAGATATTTTGCTTTTTTCATAATGAAAACACATAGGTGCATTTGTGTTTAACTCCCCTGATGCTTACAAACTGCTAGGCTAAAAAACAAGAGCACAAGGCCATGTAAATATGTACATGTGGCTTCTGACATGGTCATGACTGCACAGACACCAAGTGATTTTATAATGTAATCAAATATAACTTAATTTCCTTTCTGTATTTTGGAAGGGAATAGGAAATGTAATCAGAATTCACAGTGAGCTGTATTTCACCAGGAAACCTCTGGCATTATAGTCATTTGAGGACTAGGGTCAGATTATACTGATTTGATCAGAACCCAAAACTTAACCCTCCCATACCCTCACACCTTTGTGTTAATAGTTAAGATACCAATCTGTGAAAAAGAGTGTGCTGCATTTGTTGATAGTCAAGCATCTCACTGTTATTAGTGAAATTCAGTGTGATCAAAGAGAATGACATACGCCTGTCTAGTTAACCAGAGTATGATTCAATACATGTTGGTTTTCATTCCAAGTCTACACTAGCGAACCTAATGGTGGAATAGGAACAATCACAAAAATAAAGGGTGGGTAATAGAAAAGAAAGAAGAATTAGACACAGCTTTAGTATTGTCCCTATTCTCCAATTAGCTAATATTCATCTTCAGAGTATAAGACATCATTTTAAAACCCAAGAAGAATGTACAATTCCTGCCTGCAACATCATCATTCCATGCATCTTACTGGGATATCAGCTTCAAGACCACATAGCCACCCCTCGGCCCTGTGAGATGTCAGTAACTTGCCCCAGACTCCTCCTAGTAGGGTTTCGCTGGTAATAGTCCAAAGAGAGAATCAGCAAGAGGTAGAGGTGAGGAGGAACGGGGGCAGCTCAGCACACTGAGCTGAAAGCGAGGCAGAACTAGAAGCAGCAGCAGTTTTCTCGGAGTGATATCCGGAGCCTATGCGGCATCAGGCCCAGCATAAAGGAGGAGAAGGAAGTAACAGAAGACGAGGAGGTGTGCACAGACCAAAAGAGAGCAAAGTGAGGTAACCAAGAGGATACAATTAAAGGCTCAGAGAGGTTTAAAAAACAAACAATGGTTTTGGTATTAGTGACGTTATCGCTTTCACTAAAATAGTCACCAGAAAAAGCATTACAAGTCTACACAATAAAAATGCACCATGTTTTGGTTTGTTTTGGGGTTTTTTGTTGTTGTTTTGTTTTGTTTTCACAAAAGTGCCAGCATACCAGCTACATCTTGGGACAGAGGTGGACTTAGAAGTTCTAGAAGCCAGGAGTTTTTCCTATCGCACTGTTAGGAATTCATTTCATAGAATCACATGCAAACCAGCATCCAGTAGATTGTTAGGAGAAGTTTTGCCTCCCCACCCC